ATTACCGACGGAGTGTTAGACTCATTTGAACTTTCAACGGTGTTGAATTTTTCGTCGTTATCTATAGTATGCGATAATAGTTCGAATCTATTTTCTGACGTTGTTACTTCCCGTGGTTGATTATTTATCACAGTGGGGGTAAACGGTTTGTTTTGTACGTGAGTAGCAGGAATTTTACGTGAACTTGGTTTAGAGTGAACTTGCCAAGTACTACATGTTGACTGTTTATTATTCGCTGATCTAGAATTATTGTCATCTTGTAGCAGCTTTATGGCCGTGATCAAACTCAGTTTTTCGTTTTCAATATTTTCTATTTTGGTTTTTAAGTCCGATATAGTACAGGAGTAATCGAGGGAGTAATTGTTAAATTTCTCCTTCAGGGTGTTATTTTCCTCCTTAAGCTGAGCATTTTCTTGTCTTAGTCTAGCGTTTTCGTCTGAACTAGTCCGACAACACTTTGCATCTTTTTTTCCGGGCAAGCTATATTATTTCCTTAGCTGATCAAGTTGATAATCGAAGTTCTCTTTAATTTGTTGGAATTCCGTTCTTGTTTCGTGAACGTGTTGATCCAATTTAAATTTAATTTCGGTTACCTCGTTATGGAGGGCACCAGAGGATTTATTAACGATTACCTGTGAACTTGTGTTTATGCAGCGAGTGGATGCCATAGTTACATCGGTTTTCCCACGGTATTCAACAGAAGAGATATCAGCGTTTTCATTCACGACATCTCCATTCTCTATAGTAATTTCCCTGCAGTCTTCGTTCAATTGCTTGTAATTTTGGCAACAACTGTCCGATATAAGTTCGGTCAGTCTCGGTTCTGTTTCGGTAGCTTTACCTTCGAGAGAATAAGCTTTCAACGAAGCGTGCACGCCTTGGTTTAAGTGCGAAATTATCCTTTTGGTCACTTCCTTGCCGTTTTCGCCCTCAAAATAAATATTCTGACTCTTTGTTTGCCAGGTAACACACAGTGCGTTACTGTCGAATTTCCACGTACCACCGCTAGGCGATCGCCAGGTTGTAGTTTCAGCTGTTTGTTCGTCCACTACAGTAAGCACGACGGCTTTCAGATCTTCCAACGAACCAGCCCATTTAAGCTTATTCTTCTTATAGCAGAAATAGCTGTACAAACTGTTTACAGCATTTAAGGAGCTTTCTACATTCAATTCACAATGACTAGAATCATCATTTTCCACAAAACTTAATAAAGATTCGGCCAATTCTTCAGAGCTCAAGTCTACACGTCCGTTCTCCATGACTGCGCTAAGCGACAGGACTGGACAAGAAAAAATTATGAAATGTGCGAAAACAGGGCTGAAGTAAAACAAGATGACATCGGAATATTTTAAAAATATATGATATTTTTTGTGTTCTGTGCATTTTACCAAACATTCTGAGCAATGTGTGTGTTTACCAAACATTCTGAGCAATGTACCGTATCGAGCCCTCGCCAGGAACACTTCCAAGCCAACATTACAATAATAATTTATTTAAAATATTTATTAAAATATGATGTTATTTTATTCTACAGCAATTAAATAACGTTTGCAAGCAAATTTGTTAATTTGTTTTTCAGGCTTTAAATATTATCACAATCCTAAACATTCAGGGCCGTACACAGCAGGGGGAGGCAATATCATTATTAATTATTCATTGGATATTTGTGACGTTTTTCGGCATATAGGCCTTACTGCCCCCAGCTGATGAAAACATTCTGCGTACGGTCCTGTAAACGTTCTAGAACTCATACCGTAATTTATCATTTATTTTTTTTTGGGGGGGGGGGAAGGAGGGAGGTATTTCTAATATACACAAAGAATCTGTTTGCACGTTTTATTCTCTTTAAATATGCAACATCGAGTACTGTGATTTTCCGTAAAATATCATAATTATCTTTCAAGTTTCAAATACAATTTCAATCCACGATTTTATACATTAATTGCTTACAGGAGAGGGCCGGGGGTGGGGAAGAAGTGGTGCTAAACAAAGAAATGACTATATACCATAAACTAAGTATTACTCGGTATTCACAATCTTATTTATTCTCTAAATCTTTTCCCGTCAATTAATTTTATTAGTCCAGGTAATGGTTGTTTATTGGCTTTGCGTCTAATCCATTATTAAGCCAAAGAACGGAGGTTAACTCTTTGCCTCAAGGGCCAACGTACCAATTCTGAGTTACGCTGACTGGAACCTCATTACGACTCTGTTTTTGTACCAACCAATCCTCAAACACTCGTATTTCGTTGTTCATGTACGCCTTTAGCGTAGCCATGTTCGGGCTCGGGGGACCCGCCTCCCCACCCCTGGTAAAATTTTGGTGCCCCCTGAGAAAATTTATTCTATAAAAAGAAGTGAAACATAGCCCACCTACGTTTTTGCTGCCCCTCCCTGACCAAAAATCCTGCATGGCTACGTTTCTGGACATTTTGGAGAGAAGTGATGTTTTGATAAAGAGAAAACTACTCAGTCTGAGTCAGATAATCTGTTGGTCTTGTTCCGATTTGCGTCTTAATGCTGTTGGATAGCATATTTAAATTTACTTGAGTGAGAATGGACAGTGTGTTGTGGAAATTTAAAGCTGTTAATGCTAAATAGATAAGACAAAACTCCCTTTCTCTTGGTATGCGCGCGTCGTATGCGCAAGTTATTATAATTAGATTGCAAACGTCACGCCATTAATGCTGTTGCATAACAATACCTCCTAAAATCTACTAAGCTATTTCCTTCTCCTTTGTTTTTTTTTTTTGATAAACTGATCACGATGATTGCACAAATATACTGAATTGACGAAAAGGCGTTCGTGATAAAGGCGTGCATGATCAACAACGTAACACGAGTGTTTGAACACGAAATTGGTTGGTACAAAAACCGAGTGCGTAATGAAGTTCCAGTCAGCGTAGAGCCTGAACCTCCGTTCATTCTTATTAATAATGGATTAAATGCAAAAGAAATAATAAACAACGAACCTGGACTAATAAAATTGACAGGGAAAGATTTAGAAAATAAATAAGATTGTGAGCACCGAGTAACACTCAGTCATATTTAGGGAGTGGTCATTATTTATGGGGAGGGGGGTTGGGAAATGGGAGGGGGGCAAACGAAGTTTTACCCTTATAAATAGGGGGGGGGGTTAAAAAAGTTTTAACACAGAGAAAGGGGGGGGTCATAAAAGTTTTTGAACTTAAATACCATGTCTAGAGTTCTGATTTCTATAATCACAAATAGCAAAAAAGAAGACTCTGAAAATGCTATTTCCAACGATCTAGAGACTCAAAATTTTCAAAATTACTGCTCAGCGCCAACCATGGTAGCGCCTCGCGATCGTGGGAGTTGGGCCCACTAAGTTTAACAAGCTTTCTACCCCCTGAGTGACCCAGTTGTGGTATTTACATAAACATACCATGCAAGTACACTTAACTGATCAGATTCGGTCTATCAACGCACAATGTAACGCTGTATATCCAAAAATCTGTTTCAGAAAATGCTCACATTTCAGTTCTAGGGGTGGAAAAATACAAAACATTTTCTGGCGGAGAATACCCCCAGACCCCCTTACTACTGCATACGATACCACACCACACTTTTTGTCACCAACAACCATTTGTCGTCTCTACACACTCAATATAGTATGGTCCCTTTTTGTAGATGCCCACCCCCAGACAAGTTCTTAAAATCTCATTTCGCTGTATGAAGACGGGTCATGGGTTAGCGTTATGGTAGGACAAATGTTGCATTGCAAAGTAGTAACACATGATATATATATTTTTTAATCATATATGGTTGAATCATATTCACCAGGAGCCGGTTGTTCAAAGCTGGGTTAGCTTAACCCTAGGTTAACCTAAAATTCAAAGCAAACTTCCTGACAGCTTGTCTATAAATTTGGAAATATTTCTTCAGAAATCTTGTCTGGATGGATAGGAGTTTACTTGTCTGAAGTTTTGAAATAAACAGACGTGCAGAAATACACAAACTAAAACAGCAGGTTAAACTTTTAACCCAGGGTTAGCGCTAACCCACCTTTGAAGAAACGGCCCCAGGGTAAAACATCATGAGCTAGATTGAACAGATTGTCCTAATATCTAACTTTACCTGCAATGCACACCTGTTTCATTGCTGTTAATTTTTCAATCTACACTTGGGGGGGGGGTCAGAAAAGTTTCTACTTTTATGAGGGGGGAGGCACAAAAAGTTTGCCTTCAGTCTGGAGGGGGGGGGGACAAAAAAGTTTTCAATCCTCATTTTCCCCATTTCCCAACTCCCCCCCTCCCCATAAATAATGACCACTCCCTTATGGTATATCGCAATTTCTCAGTTTACCAACCCTACTCCCCACCCCTTTCTCCTGTAACCAATTAATTAATGTATAAAATCATGAAACATGAAAGTGTTGTATTTGAAAGATAATTATGATATTTTACTGATAAAATATGATTACCATCATATTTTAAATAAGTTATTATTGTAATGTTGGCTTGGAAGTGTTCCTGGCGAGGGCTCGACACGGTACATTGCTCAGAATGTTTGGTAAACTCCATTAAAATGCACAGAACATAAAAATATCATATATTTTTAAAATATTCCGATGTCATCTTGTTTTACTTCAGCCCTGTTTTCGCACATTTCATAATTTTCTCTTGTCCAGCCCTAGATTGAGATCAGTTTTTCTTATCTGCGCGTGCGCATTACATGTTTTGTGCTCAAGCGCATGCGTATTTGCAACACAACAATGGCGGTTTATGGATTCCGAAACACGAGGATGCGTGAACTTTGAAGAGCTTATACTTCAATTTGTGCAACTATTTCGCTTGGGGGGAAGTGGATTCTAACTAAGTAAGTTATAATCTATAGATTCATGTAAAAATTATGTAGTTACACGAGGGGTGCTACGGAATCTGTTTTCTAAGCATATTTTCGACCCTCATTTCACGGCCTACATCTAAAACTCGTTGTTTAATGCTCATTGCACTAATCGTAGTCAAATTAACCAGGGGTTAAAATTGATGAAATTTTTAACCCTCCTAGCTGGTTAAATTTGGGTTAAATTTTAACCCTGGGTTATGTACGAAGCATCATGGCGGATGCTTTGCAGGTTGTTGTGCCAATACGGAAATTTCTGCGCAGACAGGGACTATATCGTCACAATAAGGTGAATATTCGAGGTTGAACAGACGCAGAATCATGAATCCAGTATATATTCGGAAGCCAAGCAATTAATTATAATACCACTATAATAATATACATGAAAAAATTCTCAATTCTATGATTGGCCAACAGCAGTGTATATTTTCGAAATACAGTTCCAAAAGGTGAAATACAGTGCAAAAAAGTGAAATACACTGCAGAAAATAAACAAAATAAAATGAAGATACAAATCGGAAATAATACAAAAAACCCAAGCATTATACGAGCTACAAAATTTTCTAATAAAATTGTTTATATTACTTATCTATTTCGCATGTGACCTACGTATGAACATGACTGCATAATTTTTTCAAGTAATAATAAACGCCTGCCGGCATAGCGTTAAATTTTGGGACACTTCGACTTCGTTCGCCCACGAACGAATTCTTAATTTATGAATGGAGAATTATGTGAATATGGTACATGCATATGGGAACATATGATTGATATTAATTTTAAGTAGGAAGCTAAGTCTGTATTTATTACTGATGTCATGCTGCAAAACTTTGTTGATGTTGATTTATAGATCGATATAGTTGAGTATATGCAAACAAGAAAACAACGTGTTGGGCCAATTGAATGGGGGAAATTAAAATAATATTTTGGATGTACTTATACATCTCAGATTATTATACACTCACGCGCACAATCAGTAATCGTTGAGAGGGTCACGTGCCGATCCAATATTTTACGATGTTGGACAGGAACCTATTGGACAGTTGCGAATTGTGGCTTTTTTCATAGTTTTTCAACCCTTTTCAGATGTTTTGTCAATTTCAAACATACAACAAGCGATATGGCAGAGTAATGAAAATAATTTGGGACATTAATACAGGGGTTTTTACCAGTTTTGTTTAAAATTATAAAAGCGCGGAAAAACCTGTTCTCGCGAAATTTATTTGTTTGCAACAGCCTAAAAGTTAGTAATATTATTTTTTTCGTTAAAATTAGGTCAAATTTGCTTTAATTAAATTAAACATACATGGAAATGAGTTTATTTATGCACACATATTTGTAAAAACAGGTTTATTAATTTTTTGTTTAGTTTTTTAAGCAAATTCGCCGCCGATATATGTAGTAATGTTGTCGCTGTAGTATTCTTGCTGTGTTACTTTATCGCTCATTGACAATTTTTTGTTATTATAGTAGAATTGTTTTGTTAGTCGATATAATAAAACTCTTGTTGGATTCATCTTCGCCCAATATGGCAAAATATTACTTCTCGACTTCAATATTAGGCTCGACCTTGGGTCTCGCCCAATATTGAAGTCTCGACCTAATATTTTCCCATATTGGGCTCAGAAGAATCCAATATATAAGATATTTATTGTGAGGTTCATTTAAGCTGCTAGTTCGCCTGAATGAAGGTCGTCGTGGATTTCCATAGACTAAAGTGGATTTTAAGCCCCATATCTCATTTCTTCTTTTATTTGTATATAATGGTATTTGCTAGTTTGGACTGAATAGTGTCTATGTTTTCTTCCACTAATGCTGCAAGTTTGTTTATTTCTGACGTAGAAAATTGTAGTTTCCGCTTTCTTTAAACTTTGAGCAATTTTTTCCCCACCAGTTTGTTTTTCGCACGCTTTTTAATCGTGAGTTGAATGTTTTAACCATAGAATAAAGATCCATATAGAAGGGCCTCGCGCATGTCGCATTACGCATGTGGGCCGCCATTTCCCTATATAGCCAGTAGGGACCTTAAGCAAACAGGACGGGAACGCGACGACGACGGCTATTCACACAATGGTATTCCTGATCTCGTACAAAAGAAATGAATAATTAAAAGCCCCACGGGAGTTAGAGACGTTGTGTTAGGGCTTTTTACAACGGCAAACCACAGGTTTTCACGTCTTGTGTACAACGCAAACATGTCAAGACGCGACAAGTGAAACTACAAATTTGCTCAGCAGACGTGTTTTTAACCATAAAGCCTTTGTTATAATCTCTTCAAACTGAACTCAATTCATATATACATGCAGTGGATAATACACAACAACTCTTCTTCGCAATAATTTATTTGTTTTGGCTGTCGTCGTCGCGTTGCCGCGACGCGTCGTACATACTTAAGGTCCCTAGTCAATGTCATAAACACGCTGTACTGGCTGCCTGCTCCGCCTTCTGGCCAGTATGCAGTTGCATATTTTTGCATAAAAAAACGAGGACACGTTGCACCGCTGAGTGGCACTTCTGTTACTGATCTTTATTCTGTGGTTTTAACCCATGGATAATTATTCGCACCACTATAATCCACGTTTGACAGCGACAAATTAACTCATGCAGGATTAGCTAACCCAGGGTTAAGGATTTTTAACACTGTGTTAGCGCTAATCCTGGGTTAAATTAATTGCCTTTTGAACAATGCGTCTACAAAATTGGCTGTGGCGGAGAGGTGGCTTTAACAGCTGGGGCAGGTTGTATCAAGCCCGTATAGCTTAAACGGTGGTTAAGCTCAAACTAGATCTACAAATTTTGCGAAAATTTTAGTTTATCGAACTATTCGAACTATGCAGTTTTCCCCCTAAATGTTAATATTACAGGGATTGTTGAGTCATCAATATTGGGGTCTATAGATATTCAGAGTTCAAAAATCGCTCGGGTCAACTTTAGGTTGACAACAGATTGTCGAGTTTTTCTCACTGTCCTACCGTGACCAGACATCGTCCACTTATAATATTTCATACGTGTCTCTATAGCTTCAAAAAAGGTTCAATGAACAAAATTCACCCGATTATTAACTTTCATTTTCGCTTTGTATGCTTTTGAGGGTAATGCGACTTCCCTTGCATGGGAATTTCCCTTAAATGCATGTATACGTTAATTAGTATTATAATGATTGTTGAGTCATTATTAATTAAACAGTTGCGATATAGATTATTCAGCATATATGCATGCATATCATATGCATACAGTGTGCGAGTTCAAACTCTGCTAGCTCTTAATTCCGGTCAACTTTACATTGTCTAAAAGTACTTGCTACATGAACCATACTTGCTATATCTACAATCATAGTCGGATATAGTCCTTCAGATCTAAACACTGATGAGAGAACTGGCCATGAGAGGTGGTTCTCTTGTAACATGCAGCTATTTAAAAGTGACTGTTGAATAAAAACTGACTTTATACTCTCCAAGAAACACACTCTCACTATACTCTCCATGAAATCCATAACTCAAAAGGTGTATATAATTATTATATATGGGAAACTGCCAAACTTTGTCAATATCTGTAATGTCACTAATTTCAATTAATATCCGTGAGAACCTTCAAGAAACAAGTGTTATATTCTGGTAAATTTAATCAAATGACAATTGTCGTGAGATCCATATTGACTATCACCTGTATTTATACTACAGACAGTACAGAAAGTCTACTGTTCAACTTACCGACATCTGCCATGCACTCGTATTATTTCGTACAACATGTCTCTCGCTTGAAAAAAGGTTTAAGAATTAAAGTAAAGAATTAACCGATTGTTAACTTCTAGTTTCGGTTCGTGTGCTTTTCAAGGTCAACGCGAGTAATGGGAATTTCCCTTGTAGGGGCTTTCCCTAAAGTACCATACTACCTGCGGGAGTTGTTCAGTCATTGAATATTGGGATCTTGAAACGCGACACTGTGTTGCCAAGATAAAGTTGACTCTGGCCGAGCGGAATTAATTGAACTTACATACAGCGTATTCAAATTCCGTTCTGATCACCGTTTAGGTTGACATATATAAAGTCTAGTTGAGTTGTTGTTTTCATATATATATTTCATAATTTCCAGACCGCTATAATATATATATATATATATATATATATATATATATATATATATATATATATATATATATATATATATATATATATATATATATATATATATATATATATATATATATATATATATATAAATTAAGGTACAACAATCAACAAAATCCACTAGGCATCTTTATAAAGATGCCTAGTGGATTTTGTTGATTGTTGTACCTTAATTTAAAAATGCTCTGGTTTTCCATTGAGCACTTTACCAAAAGTTTTTATAACCAACGAAACCAAATCTTATATATATATATATATATATATATATATATATATATATATATATATATATATATATATATATATATATATATATATATATATATATATATATATATATATATATATATATATATATATATAAATATACGTATTTACTAACTTGATTGTGGCTGATTTGGAGCACTTGTCAGGTAAATATACTGTATATAATGCAGCATAATGTTTAGTACTGTATTCCTGCACAATCACGCACGCATATACACATATTTCGCATGATACTCTGAATATAAAGTTACATCTTGCAGGCCATTGTGCGACTGCATATGGCAGTGTAAATGTTTAGACTTTAGAGTTGATTTCACGTAACTTTGGTCATCACTTTTATGAAGTCTATTTCGTAATTTCAAACTCTACTGTAAAGTTAGCAGGTTGTATTGCAGGCAATTTCAAACGTGAGTTATGCATGTCATAATCACGCTACAGTTGGCCAGACAGCCAGTGTTATAGCAGCTAGTATCAATCTGCCTCATAGCTGATACCAGATCGTTTTTCCCGAACTTAGCCATTTGTATATTAGGTTATTTTAAAAAGCTTCATTTTATTACAGTAATCAACTCCTTAGCTCTCAATCTTGTCTGAAATTGAGACGGCGTCCTGCCTCGTACGTCATCCATTCACCAAATCAATTCACCAATAAATGTTACTATACTGTACTCGAATTCAGAGTTTGCTTCGCTAAGTTCGCTTAATTATGAACATACTGTAGCTTCTATACTGGCTAACTGAACATAATATAAGCAATATTGTCTCGCAATATGCATATAAAGCCTCGGTGAAACGAGCATGAGAGTTCAACGTTCATGAGCCAGTTGGCACTCACGCATTTTTACGGGGGAAATTTCAAGTTCTATACACTAAGAAGATTAACATTAATTTTGATGAGTGTTCCAACTATGTTTTAATAAATTCAAAAGAATAGATGATAGTGCTGAAAAAGCATTATAGCTAACCAAGGTTGCGTGACTTGTAACTCTTATGAAATCTCCGTTACCGCG